AGTGCATTCTGGTAGCGCAGCATTGTGTTTCAATTTGTTCTCATTCTTATTTGGATGAAATTAATTCTACGCTACTTAATGCAAATCAGTGTGTGGCATGACACTCTGCCTCTGGAAATTCTGGAAAAAAATTTGAACTAAGCGTTGTAAATCTATAAGGACAGATTTGGCAGATTTGGCTTATTTCTTGCCTCAAATGTTTTCAGGAACACACAAAGGATATGGTGAACTCATGACAGAATGAAAAGCTCCAGTGTTTTTTTTTTTCGACTTAACAAGTAAAAAAAACGCAAAAAGAGAAAATACAGTGTGCGACCGCTTGACGAGAGTACCAGCTAGAGGTGCATACACCACCAACTGGACTGGAGTGTGGAACAAGAGATTAACTGGAGCATGTGCAGGCCACACAATCACAGAATTTGGGCTTCGCACAGTCCACATAGACCCATGCGGATATGGAAATTATAAATTGGTCTTCAGTTTGAGCTGATTAAAAAAGAAATAAAGTAGGACAAACAGCTCTTCCTGCAAATAAATAACACCACTTTAAAATACAAGGATGTTGCTCCAGACAAGACTTAAATTTCAAGAGTGCCAGTAAGATGTAGTAGTGACCATACTTTGCCAACACACACACAGAGACATACTTTATCACCAGATCCAAACTGTGTGTGTCTCCTCAGAGTCTGCGTGGATGTACTCATACCCAGGAGTGGGGATCCCACTTGATTTGGAGGCCAGGCATTGGTTTCTGCAGGTCGCCACAGGAATGCCAGCAATGTTGCCTCCATTGTGGATCCCATCGGGTTGGAGAGAGGAACTTTGTGCCTCTGTCAGTACTGATGTGTATTTTAGTGGCTGCAAACATCATCAGCATTCGGCAAATTTCAAATTAGATGCAGTTATGAGGTGGAATAGTTATTTCAGCACACACACTCATAAACCCTCACCACGACTTTGTTTATAGTAAACAGTGTATAAGATGGAACAATGGTTTCTCTCAGAGAGGAAAAAAGTACTTCCTCCACTGTGTAGTTTTCCTCTGATATTAATCATCATCTGTGCCTTTTAGAAGATGATGTGTGCCTGTTTGTCCGTGTGTGTGTGTGTCATAAAGTCAGAAACAAAGTGAGACAAAGCAGCTACCTGTTGGGGGCTGGGCTGCACGTTAGCGGTGAGTCACCTGGACAACAGAGGACTGGGCTTTTGTGTAAGCTGAGAAGCAGTGACACAGCATCAGACGGAGAGAGAGAGAGAGAGGGAGAGAGAGCAGGGTACTCAGAGTCACGCAACGCTCTCTGTTGGCAGGCTGTCCGTGTGTGTTTGGTAAACACACATTACCTGAGATAGAGTTGGAAGGTGTGAGCAAGAGGAATATAGTGTTTCTTGGCCACACAAGCCTTCTGCTTGAGGAGTCGGTCTGTGTGCATGGGGTGTGTGTGGATGTCGGGGCAGTGTGATCCCACCGGAGAGTTAGTTGGGAGGATGTGAGGCCTGGGAGTATCCAGCCTGACTGGGTAGGGACTGGGAGTTTCTTGACTTCTCCCTCTGGGTCACTGAAGATTTTTCCGTTGTCTTTTGCTTTTGTAAGAAAACAAGTGTGTAAAAAACCTGATGTTTTCCCTTTAAACTTTCAGTATTGATTTTCTGCTGCTAGGGATCTCTGTGAATACAATAACAAATGTCAGAGTAATGCCGCCATTGCAGTGGGTTCCTCCCAATTAGGATTTTTTTCAGTGTTTATTGTTGAAGTTTTTTTTTTTTCTGGCAGCCGAATTATCTGCAGCGGTCTTCTCCTCTCCAAAACAAATGTCCCACGTGATTAAAATCAATAAAAACACTGAATAAAGCAGTTTCTAGTTAAAAAAAATAATCAATGTTTCTTTGATAAAGGGGCCAGCCCAGCATCTGCTAATGTGTGCTCCCCTTTTCTCTCTGATAACTTAAGATCCAGATGTTGAGGTTTTTACCAGGAGCTGAATTATCCGTAGAGGCCTCTTCCTCCTCTGGGTTTGAACATTGTGATATATTTGGGATACACAAGCACACAACTTAAAGTATATAACATTGTTCAAGTCCTTTTTAGACATTTTAATGCAGAAAAGTTGCATCTTATATCTCAAAGTCCTGGATGGTGCTTTTATAAATTATTAATGTACATGTGACTCAGCATGGTTACTAATACTGTGTGTACAGAAACTAATCTGTGTCATCTAAAGGGAGTACATTGTTCCTTGAGAAGACATTTCTGTTTGCTGTTGCCTCACACGCCACTGTCCTGCCCACCCACACTCCGTCCTGTCCCGTCCTGCTTTGTCCCATGCAGCTCCGGAAGTTCCAGCCCCACCCCAGGTTTGCCAGATTGCTGTGGTGCTACATTGCGCAATGCCAAACGCACGTTTGCGTGCGTCACTGGGAGCACCCTGTCTTTGCACAAATACGCATGAATGTAAACACACAGAATAGACAGAGTACACAGGGCCTGCTTACATTGGCCCCACTCTGTGGACCTGCCTTTATTTGCAGGGATCACACGAGTGTTACTGACTTGTTTGATAATCTCTGTCATTTCAGATCCATCTAGATGATTGTTCACTGCGTAACATGGGTTCTTAACAGAGGTAATGCAAAGTTGCATGACCTTTTCTTCCCGACTAGATCCTGTTCGTTTTACCTAATAACTGTATTGTCATAATGACTCAGTGTAGAATAGCCAACTGCAGCGTTTCCTTGTTCCTCTCAGACAACAAACTTTGATAAGTGAAATTGTGCTGCAGGAATAACAGATTTCAGAGGAACTTTTTGTACCTTGTTCTGTTAAGCAAGCTCTTGCTCACGTCTTTGACCTAAATAGGAAATTAAATTACTCTTTAAAACAGGTGTGCTGCATGAAATCACCCTTCAAATAAGATCTGTTAAATGGAAGTCAGCCATTTAAAAGAATACTTCATCCCCCCCCTACATGACCATTTGTCAGTCCCTCCGGTGTTTTGGGTGGCTCTTTTTGGGATTGCTGCCTGAAATGCCTGATTTTACGGCAGTTTTTCTAAAAAACTGCAATGTTCTGTCTTTGATTCAGAGCCTATAATTATGAGTATTCAGTGTTTCCCACAGAAATACAATCTATTTATGATGATGAAGTGGATGGGTGGGGGCAGCAACAGCTGATTGCAAGCCACCAGCTGTTGATGAGTCGGGACGAGTTCGAATCAGTGCCTTGGGATCGTCTCTGTGAGCCACTCTCCTCCTCCTCTCTCTGCACGGTTAGCATGAGCTAACACAGCACAGTGTGATCCCATCCCGACTCATCGCCACTTGGGCCGAAGCCCTACAGCAGCGGTTAACAGGCTGAAGGGCACGAGGGGATGAGCGAATCACTAGACTGCACACAGTTGTGTTACATAGACAAATTTGCTATAAAGTTGTGGTGATTGGACAAAATCACAAGGTCACACAGCAGCGGTATACCTGCAGTTTATTTGTTTAGTGAGGTTAAATTGCTGTTTTTATCTGGCTTTGAAGAGAGCATAGATGCATTTCACCTGTAGTTTAGCTTCCGGTCGGAAAGAGCTTTCTTTTTGAGAGTTTGTAAATGGACGTTGTGGTATATTTTACCGTTGTTAAACGTTGGTCCCTTTATTTAACCCATGTTTACTCCATCATCCATCAAGTTTTCTACCCAAAGTCAACGTAATAAAGGGTGACAAATTAATATACAAATGATTATTTGGGGAGTGAATATTCCTTTAGGGTATATTTTTAAAAGTATTATGTGAGGAATTGCTTATGTTTAAAATAATAGAGGTACAATGAGAAAAAGTAGGCTTGAAATGACCAGTGCTGGTTCTTTATTTCAAAGTGCCAGAAGGGTGTTGAAATGGCGTTTTCCCCTCTTTATATATTCGTTTTTGTATTTCTGTGTAATTGAGTTTAATTGTGAGTGCGTGTGTGTGTGTGTGTGTGTGTGTGTGGCCCTAGGAGTCTCCCTACTCGGCGGCGTTGTGGATATTGGGATGACTTGTTTTCGGGTTTGAACAAGAACACAAAGCTGGCAGCTCAATAAACTTTCACCACACCACAAGAAATCCAACCTGCACTTCTCGTCCTTCCTTTGATTCCTCTGTTTTCTCACTGGAAGCCTAATTGAAGTGAGTAAATAAACAAGAGCCAGAAATGTAAACCAGACCAGGCCCTATCAAAGACAGCGGGTCCTTAAGTATGCTAATGTCTCGTTCTTACAAGAGAAGAAGTCAAACATTAATAAATTCTGTCTGGAGAGTTTTAGATTCTGCTTCTTTTTCCGCTGCTCTTTTCTTCATTATTATTGCCCTCCTGTGGGCAGATGGCTGCACTCTGTTGTGTGTGCACGTCACCTGGGAAAGGTGGGAAAAATCATCCCCCGTGCTCTTGAACACTACATGTTTTTTAGCTTGCCTTTCTTTGTCTTTGACATGTCTTTGAGGTTCATTTGTTTGAGCGAATAAATATACAAGTGTGTGTGTGTGTGTGTGTGTGTGTGTGTGTGTGGTGAGTGTGTGCACACCAAATGGTTTCTACTCCCCAGCTTTGGTTTCCATCCTTGATTGTTTCCACCCGGGGCCCTCCACTCTTTATCCGTTGACACTTCTCCTGTAGGCTGTGAAACAACATGAAGCAGCTTAACGCTCCAGCTTAATTACAGTTGTGTGTTTTTCTCCATTTCCTAATGGCCTGTTTAACTCATACAGAGAGGAAAGCAGAAGGCATATCCACTCTTGATGCTGGTTTATAGTGAAAAGCAGAGGAAGTGTTCCAGAGGCACAGCCTACTGGTGGCCCACATATAACTGTCTTCATGTTGTCAATCAGTATTTGACTCATGTTTGTCTATTTCTCCCTATGCTAATAACAAAGGGGTCTTCCTCTGACTCAAAACTACTTCCAACAGGTGGACTCACACCTCCCACTCATGTCTTTTTCTCTTCATCTTCCTTTTTCTCCGCCTGTCTGTTTGTTTCTCAGGGACCACACATAGCATCAGTGACCTTGGCAGCCTATGAATGTGGCTCAGTGGATTTCCCCGAACCTCCCTATCCAGACCAAATAGTCTGTCCCCAGCAGAGCGCACCAGCAACAAGCTCTGATGCAGAGCAGGTGGGCGTGGAGGCCGCAGGGGCGGACGGGTTGGTGGAGTCAGCTGTCATCCAAGGAATCATCTCTCTGTGGACCATCATGTCCAAAGTCCGCCTGGAAGCTTGCATGTGGGTGAGTGACTGTTATACACTGGCTGTGCATACTGTAGGCTGGTGGGGCTGCACGACATGAGACAAATATGTGATAGTGTTTTTGAATATCGCAATAATGATGTTAGTTGCAATAAATAAATAGATCAAGTGTACTTTGTCAGTATGCTGCTGAAATACAACAAATTGCATTGAATTAAAAATGTGCAGTGAAATTATTTTCAACATTTTTTTATTGAAGAGATTAAAAGACTGAACCAGGGTTTGTTGGAGATCCTGGAAGTGCTTGAATTTTTAGGGGGAAAATCAAGTACAGGAATACCTTGAAAGTAGCCCCAGAGTGCTTAGAAGTCCTTAAAATTCAAATGCACCACATAGCGCTGTCTTTGTTCATCAAGTCATCGTAATTAAATTGCTCAGAATAAAATCAACACCAGAATATTTTTGGCTGGCAATGCATGTCTATAGGTCAGTTTTGCTCCTCTTCAGTTTACTGGGTGAGAGGACATCTCTCCAATTTCCCACCATGCTCCCACCGTTCCCACAGTAATAGAAGCCGCCACCCACTAGTGGCGGGCGACTGCATGACAGTTAAGCGGCCTTGTATTTCTGGTGCCGACTAGCGAGGGGGAGGACGTTTAATCGTTTGGACGTCAAATCGCGTGCATCCCTAATTCAATTTTGCATTTTCAGTTTGAACCCTGTTAAACTGTACACAAGAGGCACCAGTAAAAAAAAAAGAATGATGGTTAAATTTTAATTTTAAAGTGCACTTTACTACTCTTACTCTTTCAATTAACTTACCAAGTCCCTGGGTGTATGTCACAGTCTTTCACAATGTGTTTATAGTGCAACATAACTACGACGATAGATAAAAAACATATTGTGCAGCCCTACCGCCGGAACAGCTAAAGAGCCGGCAATTACAGGATCTGCACACAGTTAAGCTTTTATAAACATTTCTCATGGCTCAATTTTGGTCGCAGTCTGCGTTGACCTTGCAAATTCGCCACAGCTTTGACCAGCGTTCAGAAGTGTGTGTGCTTTGAAATATTGTTGCTGTCAGGTGGAAACCTCATATCTCCCAAATGCCAGTTTCTCAGGCGCTAAGAAAAACAGTCCTGTTTTCAGATTGACCGCCATGCATTTTTGAATTTATCCAGTGGGTTTTGAAAGGTGTCATTAGAAAGAGGGTGGTAGAAACGTGAAACTTAACAAAATTGAAGGGGCAGCGTTAAACTATGCATGCCAAGGACTCCAAATTAGGTGCACAAATCAAACTATGATTTTTTTTTTTATTAGATAATATGCAATTCACGCTGTGGTGATAGAACAGTGAAAAAGGTGAAATTCATCTGTGTTCTCTGCCTGTTAACACCTTAATTCAAAGAATTACTTAAATCTTTTAGATCTCCCTCTGACCACGTGAAAGACTCCCCGCACCCTAATTTTAGAATCATTGTTGATTACTTGTTCATTATTTTTGCAGCACCTCCACCAGTAAAGGCTCAAGCTAGAAATGATTCAAATTTGCATACACACTGTGCGTGCAAATGTATTCATTGATAACCCATTTGCTTGGAAACCCCCGGCTCCTTACAGAGAATTTCCCCCGTGCAGTGTCGGTGGTTTCACACCTCTAACCAGCCTTGTGGCTGCTCAGGAACATGAGATATTCTCAATGTACAACCTTTTTGCAGCTACAGAACAGAAACATTTTACCATTTTTTGTAGAAATCTATATATATAGCATGTTAAACTGACCAGTGTTTTAATGCTTGGACTTAGACAAAGAACAGACGACTACCTGGGTGTCCGCATTTAGAGTGGGGCTGTGGTGGTTTATCAATGACTCACACATGTCTCAGAGTTACCATGAAACCACTGACTGGCTTGTGCTGCTGTCACACACACATGAAAAGACCAGATATGTGCCACAGTGATCTAGAAGTCACATTCCTTTATAGGCCTCTTTGTAACTACTGTTCAGTGTTACTGCTTTTCATGAGAAAGGCAGAACTGCCAAACAGTGAGAAAAGAGAACTCAGTCACTGACACGTGATATGACTTATCGTTCTTTGTTATCTGTTTCCCTGTTCTGCATAATGTGGAAGGTGCTGAGGTGAGGGGGAAATACACATCCTCTGCTGCTTCTTCTCTACCAGGAGTTTAACAGGAACCAGGCAGGTCTTTCACTGCCTGTTCTCTACTGTTATTGGCCCCTAGGCTTCCTTATTGTTTGGAACAGATTAACTACACACAGAAACACATATGCAAAATTGGCTTGGGCACACATACACATGTAGTAACTTTTAAAGTGTGAAATTGTTTTGGATGATCATTCCATTTACACAAATACACATTTACAATGTAACTAAAGGCCTATTTATGGCTCACATTCACCAATCCTTTTCTTTATATTCTAAACTAAACACTAATATTAAACTAATATCAGTGATCGTTTAACAAATAATACTGTGATCCTCACCTTTAATCTCTCATAATGGCATCATGTCATAATTAGACACACCCTGTTTTAAAGGGATGGTACACCCTTAAATCAAAAATACATATTCTTCTCTTACCTTCAGTGTTAGTTATAAATCTAGATTGTTTTGGTGTGGGTTTGTTGAGTGTTGGTGATATCAGCCGTAGAGATATCTGCCTTCTCTTCAGTATAATGAAACTCGATGGAAATTATGACCCGGTTACTCAAGATAATCTACAGACCTTGTTGTGAGCAGTGTCACCCAGGAACTGTTTCCTTTCAAACAAACTACACGTCCCACATGTGTCACTGCGCAGAAGGAAACGTGCATCTACTCCTAGCTCACTTGGCACCACTGAGCTAGCTAAGGAGGAGGACACAATATATGTTAACATCTCATGCTGTCACGAGCACAAGCCATAGACGCATGCTTCCTGACACCCGGTGATACGGTTGGTAGATGTAGTTTATAGGCCTGAAGTTCACAGCAGTACTTGTGGACAGAGACAAGCCGTGGAATGAAAGAACCACTGGTTCAGCTTTGATTTTTTTCATTATAAAAAATATTTTATTTACTTTATTATAACAGTACTTTATTTAACTATATTGTAACTGTAGTTTGTTTAGTGTTTCAGTAGTCTACTGTAGTTTAGAGGAGGGTTTAGAATATCGACATGTATATCCTGTAATGCGAAATAGCCTAAAAATATCTCAATATTATTTACAGGCCATATTCCCCAGTCCGCGGTAAGGACTTTGTATTTTTGATTTTGGGGCCAACTGTCCCTTTAATACATCTAAATCCCTTTTAGTTCCTGTGCTAGGCACGCTGATCCTGCGCATAAAGAAAAAGATAAGAGACTATGTTTGATCAGTTGGTGCAGCGTGTTCGTCGAGTTACATTTTGTCCGAGCTAAGCCACAGCCACAGCCACACCAGCAGCAGCTCCACGCTCTGAGGTGTGATATAGGAGTCCGTGTTTGTGGGTGTGTGCACCACCCAATCCTGCTGGATTCACCACCACACCCCTGTAACCCCAGCCAGGCTGAGGCTTGTCAACTCTGCAGTTGGAGACACCTGTTGCACCCACAGTTTCAAGGCACCCACGCCAGCATTCCTCCTCCTCCTCCTCCTCCTCCTCCTCCTCCTCCTGCCAGCTTCCCATCTTCTGGATACCCTGATGATGAGACATGAGACACCTCCCCTCCCCTCCCCACCACCACCACCACTACCACCTCTTCCTCTCCCCCTCTCTCCTTTCTCTTTCCTCCTTTCTCTCCGTCTCTTTTGTCCGTTTCCTCTCGAAGCCTCTCTGTCCACTACTGCAGCTCCCTTAAGTGCTCCACTTCAAACGCCACCACTGTGCAGGTGGACGTCTTTCAGTGCCCCCTACACAAACACACACAGGCGCATGCACGCTCACAAACAGAGGCAGAGCTATTGAATGGAGCAGCTGCCAGGGAGATTAGGGCACGTCTCCATTATGAGAAATAACTGGCAGATTTCATCAAAGACTGCAGTGTTAACAAGAGAACAGGGTGTCCAGATTAAAGATGCCAGGTTTTGGGATAGCACCGCCTCCTGAGAATGATTGTTTGGGCTTGTTGTCGCTGCCATGGTTGCTAACTACCCACTAATCATCTTCTGGCTCAGCCATCCAGTTACATACAAGTAATGTGGCTGTGATTAGTTAGTTATGTTCTTCTTGGAGAGAGATTGCAGCCGTGATTTTGTGTATGTACCACCTAAACAACTGAATTCCACTCCGTTTTTTTTTTTTTCATCGCTGTGTGTCTGTGGATGCTCGAGATGTTTTGGGGCTTGAAATAATCCATATTCCATCTGTAATTGTAACGAACTGTATCCTCAGCATCTTCTCTCAGCCCCCTTGCACCCCTACTCTCCCTCTGTGCCTGGAAACATTAAAGTAATGAGCTGTGAGCAACTCCAAAAACACTGCATTTCTTGGCGGCTGTTTTCATTGTGTTAATTAAGTCTGTAGCCCTCACCCCCTCAACCCTTCACTCCCCCCGTCTCCATGTTTTGGCGGTATGAACTTGGTGAACCGACCAAGTGCAGAGGATTTATTTCCCTCAAATCACTTCCGCTTTTTTCCTGTTAAGCCCCCCTCAATCACACAGCCTCCACCACTTTATAGCTACAAGCTCCTTTTAGCTGTCAGATATTGATATCTTGGTTCCTCTAGACCCCCCTGGGCTTGTTAGCACTTCTTAAATTTTCCAGAAACACTGCATTCCACATGTCCACAGTCTACTGGAGCGGCGCAGTTAGCGGTGCAGTGTGTTGATATGCTGTTTAGAAGTGGCATCTGGTTTTTCACCTTCCCCGGGCCTGTGTTTTATGTCTCCGTGATCGTTTAATAATCTGTGGGATTTTCGTTCTCGTAAATCCTTTCCGTTTTATTCCTATTAAGTGCTCTGATCGCACAATCCCAGACGTCAAGCGGTGCAAGCTCCTTTGGATCGTGGATATTGATATTTTTGGTCCATTAACCCCCCCAAGGAACTGTGGTAGCATGGTTGTTATAACAATTAGCATGATGTTAAGACAAATATAGCACTTTTACAACTGAACCACTCAATGCATGATTATAAAAATAACACTTTAAGGCAATAAAATCAGCCATGACATGATAAAACTGATTCAAATTAACAGCTAACATCTCTATCACTCTCTTTCTAAAAAGCTGTGTTGAATTTAGATTTATTGGCATGTTGGGACAGACACATGTGTTGCCAAAACAATATACAGAAGCACGTCACACCAGGGAGTACTGTAAACAGTGAACTATGAACAGCTGAGCAGCAGTAACCAAAAACCCCCACGTGTGTGTGTGTGCGTGTGTGTGTTTCTGTGTGAGCAGGGCGCAGGCACAGCCATAGGAGAACTTCCTCCTTACTTCATGGCCCGAGCGGCACGTCTGTCCGGCACCGACCCCGACGACGAGGACTACCAGAGGTTCGAGGAGATTCTGGACCAGGGCGAGTCCGCACAGGTCAAACACCGCACCCTGCATCATCTTTGGCCCCTTCATCACCCTCTGTTATCTAACCTCCCTCACACCTTCCTCCTCCTTCTGCCTCTAATGGCTTATTTATAGTTGTACGTAGTAGAGCTACAACCAACAATTAGTTTCATGATTAATTATACAATCCTTTCATGTATAAAATGTCAAGAAAAAGGTGAAAAATGCTCATCACAAGTTCCCAGAGCTCAAAGCAACATCTTCAAATGTCCAACCAACACTTTAAAACCCATTCTCACATTTAAGAAGTGGAAAACAGCAAATATTACAGGTTTGCAGGAAAAATGACTGAAACAATTAAATGATTATCAAAATAGTTGGTGCTCTATGCAGAGCCACAAGTGGCATGCATTACTGTGAGCATTTATACTTGTGTGGTGATGTTTCTGTATTGCTCTGCAGTTACACCTCAAAATGCTACTTGTGAGGTTTCTGTGCACCTGTGATGAGTTGCTGTGAAGTGCAGTAAAAGTTTGATTGATTCAAAGCAAACCTAAAACACACATAAAACAAGGCTTAACAGAGTCATGTAGGAAAGAGTCCCTAAATCCCGGAAATGAGTTCGCAGCTTAACACTTGCGGTTGCCTTGTCTTGAAATCGGTGGGTTTTTGGTTAGAAGCCTGGAGTAAAGTCTGTGGTTAACACAAGCTGAAGAGACTTTGACATTTTGTTCTGTGGCATAATATGTGTCAATAAATATCTCACACATTGAATTTTTAAAGTTTTTTAAAAAGGCGGTTGTGAACAAGTGTCTAAATGAGACGAAAGAACATCATTATGCTGAACACAGTAAGGGGTTCAAGGGCAGGTAACAGAAATTCTTGTTTGCCACAGATCTAATTTTCCACAGTAATCCAAAATTTAGCTTTTTGTCGATAGAATCAGGGTGATGTTAACTTCCAGGTTGGCCTACAAAAAAAACGTCATCCCTGCAATATTTAACAAAAGCACAAAAGTCAGCTCCATTATAACTCGCAATTTTCATAGACAAAACAGTTGCCTTTTACTGGACATGTTTTCCCCACAAATACAACATGCTAACATTACTAGCACAAGCCTATAACAATTTACATTGACTTAATTAGCCTTGCACCTTGGAGACTTCTCCTCAACCCAGATGAAGCCAGGATAAATCACACACATGATTTCAAATGCTATATTTTTGGAGGCTTTATTGTCTTCACGATTTATCTTTTTTTGTATTTGAAATCAAAGTAAATAAAAGCTTTGTTTCCACTGAGGGAAATGTTTTTTTCAGCTCACAAAAATGAACAGAGGTCTGTGTGCCGCAACATGTCGCTACAGTTCTGGGGAGGTGCACCTCAGGCTACGAAGTCAGCTACTGTGTCAGTTACGACATAGGTACAGCGTCAATTTACTACAAAAGTATAAACTGTGCTTTACTCCTTTTTCTGAAACTGTAACTTTTACTTCTCCCTGCTTCACTTCAGTCCCACCTCTTTCTTCCTTTGTACTTGTGTGCTTGTTCTTTGTTACTCTGTCGCACTTGTACCATTTTATTTCTCCTGGCGTTGATTTATCTTCACAGTTTAGGTATTTTTCAAAGTAGGACAGTACAATCTCCCTGAAGAGTGTGTGTGTGTGTGTGTGTGTGTGTGTGTGTGTGTGTGTGTGTGTGTGTGTGTGTGTGTTGACCACTGACTAAGCCCCACCTCAGTGTCTCAACGGTATCAAATGCTTTCACAACGTTATGACTAAGAGAACAGAAATGATGCACTCGAGTGAAATGTTCCCGCCATTTCCGGCCCTTCATTTCTTAATTCCCTGTATGAAAAAAAAAAAAAAAAAAAAAAAGTTCTCATATCAAACATCCCTGCAAATGTTTCAACAATGCCAAACATCTCATTGTAAATATTTATTTTCCACCCTCTTGTGATTATGAATGGGAGAGGAGGAATGAGGGGAAACATGCGTGTGTATCTGTAAAGGATTTACATCAGACCTGTCTGTCCTGACACAGACTTCATCCTCAGGAATGCTTTTCTTTCTCCAACAGAGTGGGTCAAACAATCAGACAGGTCAAGTGCAGTAAAACAACTGAAGCACTCACTCACTCTTGTACTTGCAAATAAACTGTAGCAGACTGCACCAGACTGTCAGCAAATATACCGTTTTTTTTTTAATGAGGGTTATCCTAGATATCAAGGGATTACTACAACAGTGTGTTAGGGCCTTTATAAGTTTAAAAAAAGACTGAGCTGGGTTAGGAGGGTAATATTACACAAAAATGACCCCTGAATTTAAGAGATTTAAGTCTGAAATTTGAGATAAAAACCTGGAAATTCCTTGACCTTAGAAAGTCATACATTTCTGAGAAAAAATCAGAAATTCTATGAAAATAAAGTCACAAATTTACAAGAAAAAAAAAATAAAATAAAATATAAAATAAAAAAATGTAAAATAGTGTTATTTTTTTGTTTGTGTTGTGTTTTTTCTTGGTCAAGAACACCATTTCACTTTCCAGGGTTGGATCAACCTCAACACACCACACACCATGCTGTGGCCCTACTTTATTTTACAGTACAATAAAACACACTAAGTCATAATTTGTATGAAAATAAGACAAATAATGTATTTATTTATGTAAGTCAGTTATTGTGCATGACAGACAATTTACTATTGTCATCATATCAGCGTACATTTTAGATTATACTTCTCAATTAAGTTTTGTCTAAATTACTTTTTACTGTTATCTAGTGACCTATTAACAGCAACCTGTCGTTACACCATTACAGCTTATAATATATGTTTTGCGTTGTTTTACTACGTTTCTAAGGGTTTTTTACTTGTAAATTTGTGACTCAAATCTCGGAGAATTTCTAATTTTTTTTTTCAGATTTATGACGATATAATCTCGGGGCATAGCAAAGTTTTTCATTGTAATTTTGTGATATTTTCTTGTCAGACATCTTCCACTTCAATGTCAGTGCATATCCTAGTGTTAATCTTGTACATTCATAACTTTTTAATTTAAAAATTACCTCCCTCCCCGGCTCTTTCTTTTTTTTTTTTTTTTTTTTTTAAATTTATTTGTTTAATTTTATTTATTTGTAAATTTATTGGGGTTTTTTGTCATACATTTCCCCGATTAACTGTAAATGTAATTTTATCTTTTTTTTTTTTTTTTTTTAATTTTTTACTTCATGTGATCCTGGTACGGTGTTGAGATTCAGAGGAGTGTTTACTTTGTTTTCAGTATTTATTTCACTTTCCAGCATGTAGTATTACTGAATTGTACAGTACTTGCATGCTGTCTTTTACACTGGGGGAAAAAAGCCTGAAAAGTATGCCTCTGGTCACAAGATGAAATTAGTGCCATTAATAGGTTAGCCATGTTTGTGTATGTGTTAGAAATCAGAAACCCCAGTTATTCTGATTTGGTTCCATAGAATTTAAATTTTTTTTTCATGTTGTCACCTGGTATCACAGCTCCTCTTTCTGTCTTTAAATGCCAAGAATGTTGCCACCATATTCTGTTTCTGTAAGGTATAAAACAAGTTTACACTGTTATAACCTGAGCTCTGTTTGGATATAAATAGTATTTTAAAGTTTAATTCAAACTTTGACTGTAAATTTTAGGAGCAATCCATTCATCTGATTTTCAATGAAAAAGCATGTCAAACAATAGAATAATATTTTTTTTTAAAAACTATTACTAATTTTGGCCATTTGCGATCCAAATTCCTCCCGATGGGGTGAGTCTCTTCTGCCTGAGGTGGTTACATGATGCATTTTCTTCTGATTAGGCTTAACTCTGATTATTAGTGGAAAATTAGGGGCCATGTTAAATGGACTTAATGACATATGTAGTCTCTTTGAAGCTTGTGGCACCAAGTAACGGAGAAAGAAAACTAACGCCTACAGGGAAACCACCTGTGGTTGAAGCTGCTTTCGTCATCGATAATGCCCGATCACGCAATGCCCACATACTGAAACAGCTGCACTGTACTTTAAAATTGTAAGTTAATAGTAAAGCTGTCCATTTCATTACTTTATACTCATGTAAGAAATATACAAATGTCAATTAGATAGTAATCTGCATCAGAAATAAATAAAAAGAGGGAAAAGCAGTTATTATAATCATCCACTCATCAATTTGACAGGAACAGACGTGATCACAACAAGCGATTTCCACTGTATTGCATCAACGCTCCTTTTCATTATCAGCGTATCAGCATTTAACTGACTCCCAACGCGCAAAATGATGTGACCTTTTGAGCCACTAATATTGAAACTGATTCAAGGAAGTCACACAAAAAAATGTGTCGAGAAGAATTCCTGTTGCTGGTTCAAGGGCCAGGGGTGCAGCACCTGCTGTAAGCTCCACTGTTAATAATGCTGTGGACAGCTGGGCAGGTTGGCACCGACAGCAGCCCTGGTGTTCGGACCACATGTGTGAGAGTGCAGCTCTGACATCACTTACTGATAAAGTGGCGCTTCCCACTGAAACTGCAAGAAAAGAGTGAGGACAGTGGAAGAGCGCGACAAACAGGGCGGCATGGGGAAGCGGAGAATTTGTCTAAATGATCATCTCAACATCGAGGAGCTCCTGCTCGTCTTTTCCCAAACAAACTAACAGTGTGACGCAGGAGGAGCATCGCCTGGTCGTCTCGCATCCCTGCGAGAGCTGATTAGAAGTGACGCTGCATGCTGCTGTCTCAGTACACAGCTTTAGTCTTGCTCTCTCTCTCTGACATTGTCCCTCTCTTCTTATGCTCTTATTCTTTCTCACGCGCTCCGCTCGTCTCCCGCTGCGTGTTGCTCTCTCTCTCTCGCTTTCTCTCTGATGATGTCTGGCAGCCGAGTATGTATGTAATGTGTGCTCATGTGATTGGACAGCATCTGGAGGCAGGTTGCTAGCACCAGCGAGGACCTGCCACATACGGAAACATTTTTTCCCTCGCCAGGGCTTTTTCTATTACTCGGATGTTCCCAGGGTTCCCTCTTT